ACATCGCCAAGTTCCAACTTAACAGAAAAAAATTACTGGTTTGTCGGGGGGAGGGTTAGTTGTCATGACAACGAAGTAAATGACGGATTTACAAAATTCTTTCTTTCAGTTTTCACAATCCTTTTTCCCGGAACTACTATGGCTATTTCCACATTAATATAAAATTGTACTATTTTTGGCGCCTCAGTAATTATTTCATATAAATCAGACTTCATTATATCGAGCCCAGTGAGATTCTAATCTAACAAGGAACTCGATGTCCGTAAAATAAAACCTTTCGGCCGTAAAATTAAACATTTAATTTGGTACACTGAACATTTCCAGAAAACTTTAAAAAATTTCAACGTTGATTTCATAAAAATGTCGGAGAATTATTCGGTTTGTGCGCGATGTCAATTTGTAACCTCAAACGCACTATATCATCGTTCGTATTTTGGCAAGACGTGTCCCATATCATGGCCTGTTGCACGGCATGAATACGTTGGATATAATATAGGTATTGCCTCGCGCTCAGTGATCAGTTTGGGATAACTTTCGTTGTAATTCACAGTTTTTTATTCTCCTGTCGAACTCTCGATGAGTGTAGAACTAAGTCGTTCGCTGAAAACTCATGTTTTAGAGCTAATTAAATCGCAATTGTGATTTTTTAAACAAGCCTTAAAAATTTCCAACTTCATCAAAATCTGAGCTAGAAAAATTCCCCCTAAAATACTCAGTCAACTTATCTAATACAAATATGGGCATATGGCATTATCATTGGTTGTGTTATGTACTGAAACGAGAAACAAATCCACAGGTGGCTGCTCTATGACGCCACGTGTCGCTAAGATACGCCGGCAGTCCGCACGGCCTCAACAACGACTATTACAATCTGTATGAAGGCACGTCCCACCGCGGTGAGGAGTTCAGAGGCGACGAGGACGCCGCGCAATTGGGCGACTTGGATCTGGCCGTCTCGTCCTTGATAGTGACCGGCCAGGCCGCGTGGACCTTCTATACGTGAGTCCCAGCAGCCGTCTGATAATGGTGGTGATGATGATGGGAAGTTAAACATATCAATGTTATCGAAAGTTTTTTAAACTGTACTCAATTAAATCTCAAATTCCGCTATCAGTACATTCCTCATGATAGTAAAACGCACTATTCGACTAATTATGATACAAAATAAATTATAAATGCTACGTCAATAAATTAATTTGAAGCTCATTCTCAAACTCACATAAAAGCTGATTGCATTTCGCTAAAAAACTTCCATTTTGAACAAATAAAGAGAGAAGATATTATGACTCGTACCACCCTAAAATTTTTTCCAATTATATTATAAATCCTAACTTCCAGAGGCCTGGACTTCACTGGCGCCACCGTCTGCGTGTACGCCGATCATACAACCACCAACGGCGGCATTGACCTCGACTACGCACTCATCGCAAATGTGAGGTGACAGTCTTTTCCGTTTCCGTGCTAAAGCGGACGTATATTTCAATAATTTAAAAAAATTGAATACTTGATTATTAATGAGACCTGCTATATATTCGTTGTCTGCAACTCTTCTCCCGGTAACTTGACGGACGATGTGATCTTCGTTAGAATTATCAGAATTACCTTAGAATATAAAAATCTCGTAAATTTATTTCTAAATTACCCAAATCAGAGTCAGCAATAAGTTGACAGTAAGCCATAGTGGATATAAACAAAACTTTTACAAAAACAAACAAAAATAACTAATTAGTTCCAGTTTAAACAATATGAAGCTAAATAACTTATACGGAATATTTAGATAATCAGTCATATTCGAAGGTAACTTGCTAAATAAAATATCGTGCCATCTTACCCCAATATTCTTAACTTTTTCCATTGGGAAATAATTTGTGGACTGAAATTAAAGAAAATATAAACCATATAATATTTAAGTGGAACTAATTCAAACTTGATTATGCTATGATTAAATTTTATCGCAGGGCTACATTTGGAATGAATAATGAAGAGTGAGAAAACAACTCAGACAGAAATTTAAATAAACCCACCCTTAGAATATTACAGCATGGTAAAAAACTGAGTTCAATATGCGCAACCGGTACGAAAGGAAGTGTGCTCCCGGAAATTCAAAGAACTGGCTACAGAAAAGCCACAGGTGCCCTCCTCATGATTTAATCTCTATAATCAAAACTGGAGGTATGTCGTCATTTACAACGTGACAATTCTTGTACATTACGATGGCAGATTTTACATCATCTTTCCTTAAATTTGACGTGATATATTTATTACACACAAATATTTTACTAGTTTCCGCGGTTCAAGCAAAGTTGAAGCAAGTTAAGAGAAAATTCGGCTTGAAATTGTGAAGGTAGCCATGCTCCTGAATGAGACTCATCGAGTTTAACAAAAACTTTACAATTCAATTATTCGGAATGTATGGAACGCTAGTTCATCAGGCCCCAATATTTGGCCCTCAGCTGAGCGAGCTCGGCCTGCCCGACAACTCCATCAGGTCCGTGGCGCGCGGCTGCTTCAGCGAGCGCGTGGTGGGCGCTGCGCCGCGCATTCACGCCGGCGGAGAACGCGACCAGGACGCTGGCAACTGAACTAAGGGATCTCTATATTCATTGTACCAATACGTGCATTTTCGCGATTAACAGATGTATATGCATAAATTTTTCAGCGTTTATTGCATGAAGAAGAGTGGCGTGTTCTTTGTACACATCGAGACAGCATTTGTGCGACGATCTCGCGCCCGTTCTTACTTCAAGATGGTCTGTAGTTTGTTATACAATTGTCTTTCAGCTTTCCTTTTTTGAAAATTCCTAAATAATACTGTTGAGAATAAATTAAAAATATATATGTCAATCCAAAACCCTTTTATTACCCATCGGCCAATCACTTTCAGTATCATTTCTAAAGCTCCCAACTTAGAAGTGTTACTTTTGTCTGAGCAGAAGTGATCAAAATCATAGTTGATCATAATTGCACTGTCGCTAGGTTTTATCGTGCTGCCTACTCAATATTAACTCATTGGGCTTGTTCTTTGAGAATCGCAAAGTTATAAATTAAAAGTAAATATTTGTTTGAGCCTGCGTTGTACCTCATGTGTTAGATTGATTGAGGTTTCTTTGAAAAATAATCTATTTAACTTTTTAGAATTTCGAAATTCATGACAGTTTCCTCGTCCTGATACTTACAATTTTTACCTGATGAATTCCCGTGTTGCCGGCAAGGGTTCCCCTTGGCACTTAAATGTTTCAGGGAAACTAACTTCGTTATTGGGACGTATACGTAGCGACGTGTTGCTTGAGCTCAGGAAACGTAACTTTCAGACCAATTGGTTTCTGCTTTTCAGCAGAGAAGGTTTCCGTTGAGGAGAGATGTTGATTTTACCAACTATCATATAGCTACCTCTTTCAACTACAGGATAGAGGAAGATGAAATTGAAAGTGTCTGAATTTGCTCGAAAAATTTGAATTGGACCTCTATTCATTTAGAAACGAAAGTACCAACATGACCACGAATCTTATTGTCATCTATCGATAATTATACATATAGTCTATGTGTATCATATAGTGTATAGTGTGTACATATAGAGTATGTGTGTATAGTGTATGAGTATCTTTGTTTAAGTTAAATCGGACAAAATTACTAGCACGTAACATTGTCTTCACTAGAGATAATTAAATTCGTTGAAATTCATGCCGTATTGGCGCCAGTCGTCAATGTCTCATCTTATACCTTTATATCCAGTGTTATCCGAAGAACAGGCGTGAGTGATTAACCCTTTAAAGTTTAAACCATTTTATCCAAAAAACAGGCCCCAATGGCGCACTAATTTCCTGTTATTTGACACGCGAAAAAAAAACATCAACTGCATGAGCTTATCTCTGAGATAGTTCTGCACTGATATCTCTCACTACCTAGAAGCCACGCTCGCTTCCAATGCTGGGAATCGCGGCACTTGTGCCGATTGCCGCGTCTTGCCAGGGTATTTTAGTAGCGTTGTGCCGAGAACCATTAACTCGGCGGATTAGCGTCGTCTAGGCCTATCGCATTTTAGGAATTCATTCACCTTGCAGCCGTCTTAGACAGATGAACTATCATCTCGTCAGCAGTCTCGCAATTTTGTTCCGTTAAGCAGCCCTTGAAAACCAACGTAAGTTAAGTTTGGTTGCTAAACCTTTTGAATCATGTACCTATTGTTCAGTATTTTCATGTAGTTCAGATTTGCTTTATGTTCTTGATTAATCATTTGTCATAATTTTCATTGAGCCAGTCTATTGTTTTCGTTATTGTATTTTGTTCTCCTGCTCTCTGGGCAGGTCCAAGGATTTAAGTAAATTCCACCAGCTACAAGCTCTGAGCGTTTTTTACCCAAGCCAAAGTGGCGTTTACAATGCCTCGGCATTGACAAGCGTCTTGTGCTAACGTTCATTCTATTAAGCAAATGTCTTCAGTCTTCGTAGAAGTGCTCTGAAATATCAAGTGTTTGCTTGTTCATGATAAAAAATAAATCCACAATGAAAACTTATACAGGCATACTATGTGACTTTCTTCGTCATAGCGTCCACTCAAAGTTGGAAAGGTAACTCAATCTAAATCGCTTATTTGGCCCATTTCATCCATCTATGAATTGCATATATGCTTTATAAGCTTCGACAATTATCATTTATTTTACACTAATTTACGGTTACAGTTGACTTTTGATTTGACGCCTTATTCTTTTTTAATTTGTAATGATAATTGCCGAATAATAATGTTAACATGGGATTTTTTATAATTACAGGAATTGCAGGAACAGACGATTTCCGGTACCTGACAGGCTACGCGGACCTCGGTTTATCCGGCATTCATCACCAGTTCACGGAGTACACACCCGACCTGAGCGCCGTGCAGATAGACAATACAATCGAGAGCGCCTGTGACACTGGATAGTGAGAGCCTTCATTGCTATAGGGTGTTAGTTTAGTTTATCCTCAACAACGACTATTACAATCTGTATGCCCGCAGGTGTCGTCGCTCAGATACGCCGGCAGTCCGCACGGCCTCAACAACGACTATTACAATCTTTATGCCCGCAGGTGTCGTCGCTAAGATACGCCGGCAGTCCGCACGGCCTCAACAACGACTATTACAATCTGTATGAAGGCACGTACTTCCGCGGCGAAGAGTTCAGAGGCGACGAGGACGCCGCGCAGTTGGGCGACTTGGATCTTGCCGTCTCGTCCCTGATAGTGACTGGCCAGGCCGCGTGGACTTTCTATACGTGAGTCCTAGCAGCCGTCCATTATTGGTGTGCTGGCAAGTTTTATATATCACTATTATTGAAAGTTTTTATAACTGATGCTCAATTATATCTCAATAAAAGGTCAAGCCCAGTTAGCAGTTATTCATTATCGTACTAAAACTTAATATCATTTTGTAAAATTTAATATTATTATTATTATTTTATTAAGTATGATAGAAAATAAATTAAAACTACAACTTGAATAAATTAATTTGAAACTTTTTTCAAGCTCACATAGCAGTTATTTCATTTCGTTGAAAAACTAAATTTTGAATAACTATAAAAAATGATGAATCGTACCTCAATACAATTTTCTCGATGTTACTATAAAGTATAAATCCTAACTTTCAGAGGCCTTGACTTCACTGGCGCGACCGTCTGCGTGTCCGCCGATGAGACAGGCACCGACGGCAGCATTGACCTCGACTACGCACGCATCGAAAATGTGAGGTGACAGTCTTTTCAGTTTCTACGCTAGAACGGAAGCAAATTCGAGTCTTTCTAGAGGATTTTAATGAGACTAGTTACTAATTTTAATTTAAAATATCATTTATTGGTAAATTTCACAACATGATCATCAAAAACACTCGCTATCTATTCCTGTTATAAAACTCTTTTCTGGATTCGTGAATAGACTCGCTATCTATTCCAACCCTAGTCTCGGTTCCTTGACGGACGGCATGCTCTTCGTTAGCAGTATCCCATTTAGCTCGGGATATAAAAATCTCGTAACTTCATGCCATTGGTCTTCAAAGCAGTCAGAGATCTGTGGACAATACGACACAGTGGATATGAACTTAACTTTTAGAGAAGCAATCACGAATACTAGTTTGGTTTAAATTTAAACAATATGAATGAAAGTAACGAAAACGGAATATTTAAATAATCAGTCTTATTGAAAGGTAACTTGCTGAGTGTAAAGATCGTGCCATCTAACGCAAAAGCTCTTTTTTTCGAATACAAAATAATTTGTAAACTGGAAATAGAGAAAGAAAAGCCGTGAAATATTTAAATTGAACAAAGTCAAACTTGATATATTGATCATTCATAGTTATCACATACAATGACTATTTTGAACAACTAATCTAGAATGTCGAGAAAATTTCCAACAAAAAGTTCCAAAAACTAACTACCGGAAAATGGAAGTAAGGTAATTTGCGGTACGATGCAAATGAGCTCCCGGAAATTCGAAAAGCTAGCTAAAGAGAAGTCACAGGCGCCATCCATAAACTTTATTCGAGAATCATAACTCTATATCGTCGTTTACAACGTGAAAATTTTTGTACATTCACGACTGCAGATTTTACATCCTTTCCCAATAAATTTGATCTTACAGAATTATTTCTTACACAATATTTTACCAGTTCTCGCGGCTCGAGCTAATTACAGGGTTCGTACCGGTCATGGCAAACCTGGAAAGTCATGGACTTTGAAAATAAATGAAGAAAAAAAGGAAGTGTATTTCTGTGATGCGTGTGTTTACTGTTTGTGCAGTCTCTTGTTTCATGCGTTCTGATTGGTCCGACGGTCACGTGATTAGAGAACCTGGTTATTCACGTGAGCTCGGCCACCGAGCTCAGTTGCATTCGACTTCTTGATCTGCAGTGTCAGCGTTCCATATTCAGCGTGCAATTTCTACATCACCATGCCTGGAAAGTGTAAATTTCATGACTTGTGGTTAAGAATAGAAGCTTATAGTGACTGGCTTGCTCGCCATTCAAAGCAAGAAGGTATGGCGATATGTGCATTGTGCTCAAAAGACTTCGATAAATCAAACGTGGGGAAGCGGCTTTGAAGAGCAATGCCACCCTTGAAGAGCCAAGAGGAGCTCTGCATTTACACGTTTGCTATTTATCAACTGTAGGAGGTGATAGAATGTGACTAGTCTTTCAGTCATGCTAAACTTGTCGTATACGAGTCTTGGAAAATAATATTGTTGGCCATGGAGAGTCATGGAATTTTTTGCAAATACCAGTACGAACCCTGTAATTAATGAGGAGTAAGTTTAAGAGAAAATTTGGCTTTAAATGGTCTAGAATAAATACGATTTATCTAGAAAAATTTAACTTCTCAATACATGTATTCGGATTGTATGGAACGCCAGTTCATCAGGCTCCTTATATTTGGTCCTAAGCTGAGCGAGCTCGGCCTGCCCGACAACTCCATCAGGTCCGTGGCGCGCGGCTGCTTCAGCGAGCGCGTGGTGGGCGCTGCACCGCGCAGTCACGCCGGCGGAGAACACGTCTAGGACGCCAAATAAACTGAGGTGCCGGCTGTGCGTTGCATCGATATATACGTACATTCTTGCTATTAACAGGAGTATATATGCAACTACTGCATGAAGAAGAGTGGCGTAGTGTTCGCGCAAATTGAGACCGCATTTGTGCAACGATCTTGCTCCTTGCCTGTTTTAGCTCCACGGTGGTTTATAATTTATAGGATAACTGCCTTTTTGCGTGTTTTTTGATAATTTATCTATTATGCAACTGGAAATATTTTGCAAAATATATATGTTAATCCAATATTCTTTTATTCCCGATGTGCAAATCACTTGCAGTACCATATCTAAATCTCACAACATAAGAAGTGTGGATTTTGCCTAATAGAACAAAAGTGATCTACGGTCATAATTGATTACAATTTCACTGTTGCCATGTCTTAACTTGCAACCTTCTCAATATTAACTCAATTGCCTCTTTCTCCGAGAATCGCAGCGTTATGAAGTAAAAGTAAATATTACTTTGTACACGAGTTGAGCCTCGTGTGTAAGAGTGATTGAACCTTTTTCGAAGGATTACCTATATATTCTTTAAATTTTCTAAATCCATGATAGTTTTCTTATCCAATTCCCTGCAATTTTTACGGGATGATGAATCCAGTGCTGCCGAGTATAGCTATGGTTCCCCTTCGAACTTGAATGTTTATATGGAACCAACCCTATCAAAATTTGGATGCCTGTCAGCCGCTGGCTCAGGGTCGCCCCAAATTCTTTTTGCGGTGTAAATTAGAAGCTCTATGTCCGCTTTAGGTTCCGGTTGCCGGAGCGAAATAAGCGCCGAAAGAGAATCTTTACAGAAAACGTGAAATTCTTAGAAAACTGCCAAAAAAGGGGTACTGTAGAAATCTATCTCCTCCTAGAGTTTTGAAGTTACAGCGATGAGACATAAACCATTCGATTCGCAGTTAAATTATCTATCAATGCCACGTAGTTTTTTTCGAATTTCGAATTTTTGTGGATGTAGGAGCATTTTTCCGAAAATTTTCAAAAAATTTTCAATTTTCCCTATTTTCCCTCCCCCTTTTCTCAAAATATTTTCAAAACTAAAGCGAAATAAAAAAAAATCAACGTTACATCGATAGATATTTTAATTGCGAATCGAATGGTATATCTCCCATCGCTATAGCTTCAAAACTCTAGGAGGAGATAGTTTGCCGTGACAATAAGTTAACTTTTCAGGACAGCGTGACAAAGTCCGGCGCGCATCGAAATAGCCACTCAATGCAGCAAGGATACAAAACTAAGCGTTACTGGAGCTTGATTTAAGTCAAGGATGGTGGAAGCGACTGCTAGCACAGCACCCCGTACGACGGCAGTCGGGCTACTGAAGCTCAGCTCTAGCAGACACCCTTTTTATGTGCACTGCAGCTAATTTCCCGTATCTAACTTGTTAAAGAACTCCCCCACCTCACTCTCTTGCGGAATCTGTCATGAACGCATAAATCAATGTACAGAGATGGTTTTGGTACCGTTGGATAGCTCAGAATGTCAGCTTTAAGATGAGACTAAAAACCGGAAAAGGCAAAATCCAAAAAAGTTGACCAGACGCTCCCCTTAAGTTGTACAATAATACCAGCACGTCTCAGTGTTATCGCTAGAGATAGGGAAATTCGTTGAAATTAATATTGCATTGACGTGAGTCGTGGAATGCGCCATCTAATCTCTTTATATCCTATCTTTTCCGAAGAACAGGTGTGAGTGGAGAAATATCTCAGCTTATCTGACCCTTCAAACCATCTTATCTGAAAAACAAGCCGTACTGGGGCCGAGAAATTTTCCTGTTAATCGACACTCGAAAAAAGACATCAACTGAGCACTCTTAGATAGTTCTGCGCTGATATCTCTCACTCCCTAGAAGCCACGCTCTCATCCAACGCTGGGAATCGCGGCACTTGCGCCGATTGCTGCGTCTCGCTATGGCACTCAAGTAGCGTCTGATGCTATCGTTTTTTCTCTTAAACAACTGTCTTCGTAGAATAGCTCTGCAACATTAAGTGTTCGCAGGTTCATAGAAAAGTAAATCCACAATGCAAACTCTGATACACGCATTCTTTGGGACTTTATTCGTTATAGCATCCTCTCAATGGTGGAAAGGTAACTCAAACTAATTCGCTTATTTGGCCCATTTCATCTCTATGCATTGCAAATGCTTTAGAAGGGTCTTAGAAGATTCAAAATTTCAAATTATTTCAAACTGATTTGTATCTACATTCGACGTTTGATTTCAGACAACTTGGTATTTCAATTTGTAATGATAATTGTTATTCAATGATGTTAAAAAGGGTCTTTTCCAATTACAGTTGTGTTAGGAGCGGACGATTTCCGGTACCTAACAGGCTACGCGGACCTCGGTTTATCCGGCATTCATCACCAGTTCACGGAGTACACACCCGACCTAAGCGCCGTGCAGATGGACAACACAATCGAGAGCGCCTGTGGCACTGGATAGTGAGAGCCTTCATTGCTATAGGGTTTGCAAAGAATTCTATTTCGAGTCTGGACTTAATTATGTCGCGGTGTTAGGACCCTTTCACACAGGGCGGGAAATCCCGCTGGCGTGAAAAAAAGCCGCGGGATTTCCCGCCGAACCTCAGCGGACATATAAAATGTGCACTGCTATTCACACACGACGGCTTTTCACGCGGCCTGAAATTTCACGCCTGACGACCGCATGTGTCAAGCTAAAACTGCGGCTGGATTTCCCGCGACAGTTTAGCTTGCAGTGGTATTCAATGTAATCTTTCACACGGGGCGGTTTTTCACGCCGCTACCTAGTGTGGTACAGACAGTGGGTCGGCGAGAGTGTGTGAGAGTTAAAGTAGTTTTTCAATAGCAGGCACGGCGTCTCTCATCTGCGTGCTGCTGTGGGTTAATTTGACTTACACACAAGACAATAATTCATCAAAACTTTCGGGATTCATTCGACAATAATTGAAGAATTTTACTTCAATTTTCCGAATATCGTGGCAAATTCACCTTCTTGTGGCCTTAATTTTACTATATTGTGAACCCAGCACCTCCTTTTCTTTCTTTAATTGCTGTCTTTTATGCAGCAAATATGTAAGAAGAGCCTTCTTTTTTTAGCTATGAGCAGCCATTTATAGATATAGTTCACAAAAACTGAGGACCACTTATGGAGAACAGAGCTGCAAGTCTGATAGATTCCAGCGTGAAAAACCGCCTCGTGTGAATGGTAGCGCGGGAAATCCCGCGGCGGTTTTTTTCACGCATGCGGGATTTCCCGCCCTGTGTGAAAGCGGCCTTAGGATCATTATTTAAGGCCACCAATNCAACGACTATTAAATTCTGTATGCCCGCAGGTGTCGTCGGTCAGATACGCCGGCAGTCCGCACGGCCTCAACAACGACTATTAAATTCTGTATGCCCACAGGTGTCGTCGCTCAGATACGCCGGCAGTCCGCACGGCCTCAACAACGACTATTACAATCTGTATGCCTGCAGGTGTCGTCGCTAAGATACGCCGGCAGTCCGCACGGCCTCAACAACGACTATTACAATCTGTATGAAGGCACGTACTTCCGCGGCGAAGAGTTCAGAGGCGACGAGGACGCTGCGCAATTGGGCGACTTGGATCTGGCCGTCTCGTCTCTGATAGTGACCGGCCAGGCCGCGTGGACTTTCTTCTATACGTGATTGTCGGCAGCCCTCTGGTAATGGTGGTGATGATGGCAAGTTTAATATATCACTGTTATTGAAAGTTTTTATAATTAATACTCAAATATATCTCAATTTTTCTCAAACTCGACCAGCAGCTTATTCTTCATCGTACTAAAACTCATATATGCCTATTTATGCTAAAAATTTAATTTTGACTATAACTTAAATAAATTTGGTTGAAACTTCTTCTCAAACTCATATAGCAGTTATTTCATTTCATTGAAAACCTAAATTTTGAATAACAATAAAAAGAGATTTTGAATCGTATCTTACTACAATTTTTTCGATGTTACTATAAATCCTAAATTCCAGAGGCCTTGACTTCACTGGCGCCACCGTCTGCGTGTACGCCGATGAAACAAACACCAACAGTGGCATTGACCTCGACTTCGCACGCATCGAAAATGTGAGGTGACAGTCTTTTCCGTTTCCACGCTAGAGCGGACGCAAATTGGAGTCTCTAGACGATTTTTAATGACTATTAATCAAATGTAATATATAATTTCATTTATTGGAAAAGCAATATCCGAATTAGCTCGAAATATAAAAATCTCGTCTCGTCTTTATTCCCCAAAGCAGATTCAGTAATCTTTGGATACTCACGAATACTAATATGTTCCAATTTAAACGATATGAATGCAAATAGCAAATACGGGATATTAAAATATCAGGCTTATTGAAAGGTAACTTGCTAGAAGTAAAGATCTTGCCATCTAACTTCAAAACTTTTCTTTTTATCGAACGCAAAAAAATTGTAGACTGGAATTAGGGGAAGTAAGATCAGTGAAATAATTACATAAGTTGAACAAATTCAAACTTGATATATTGATCATTCATAGTTATCGCATAAGATGACAATTTTGAACTACTAATCAAGAATGACGAGAAATTTTCAGGCAAAAAGTTCCATGAACTAACTATAGGAAAATTGAAGCGAGGTAATTTGAGGTGCGAAGCAAATGAGCTCCCTGAAATTCAAAAAGCGAGCTATAACGTCTCGGGCGCCGTCCATAAACTTTACTCGAGAATCATAACTCATCTTATATCGTCGTTTACAACATGAAAATTTTTGTACGTTCACAATCGCAGATTTTACATCCTTTCTTAATAAATTTGATGTTATATAATTATTTCTTCCACAATATTTACCAATTCTCGCGGTTCGAGCTAATTAATTTGAAGTAAGTTAAAGAGATAATTCGGCATGGAAAAGTGCCGTATGAATACTTCTAAATACGATTTATCTAGTTAAAATAAACTTTACAATACAAGTATTCGGATTGTATGGAACGCCAGTTCATCAGGCCCCTTATATTTGGCCCTCAGCTGAGCGAGCTCGGCCTGCCCGACAACTCCGTCAGGTCCTTGGCGCGCGGCTGCTTCGGCGAGCGCGTGGTGGGCGCTGCGCCGCGCAGTCACGCCGGCGGAGAACACGTCCAAGACGCCAACTGAACTGAGGTGCCGGCTTTGCGTTGCATCGATATATACATTCTTGCTATTAACAGAAGTATATATGCAACTACTGCATGAAGAAGAGTGGCGAAGTGTTCGTGCTCATTGAGACAGCATTTGTGCAAAGTTCTTGCTCCTTGCCCGTTTTTGCTTCAAGGTGGTCTATAATTTATTGGACAATTGCCTTGCAGCTTGGTTTTTATAAATTATTTATAATCCCGCTGGAAATATATTATAAAATATATATGTTAATCCAGTATTCCTTTATTCCCCATGTAAAATCACTTCCAGTACCATATCTAAATCTTCCAACATAATACGTGTTGTTTTAGCCCAACTGAACAGAAGTGACCGTCATAGTCGATCTACTAAATATTAACTCAATTGCCTCGTTCCCTAAGAATCGCAGCGTTATGGATTAAAAGTAAATATTACTTTGTACCTAAGTTGAGCCTCGTGCGTAGAAGTGATTGAGCCTTTTTTGAAGGATTACCTATTTATTTTTTAGAAAATTTCCAAATTCATGATAGTTTTCTTATCCTGTTCACTACAATTTTCACGATATGGAGAACCTTGTGTTGCCGGGTATAGGGTTCCCCTACGAACTTGAATGTTTCTAGATAACCAACATCGGTAGTGGACACCCTAACAATTCACTTGAATTGATTCAGAATTCGTATATAGAAAAGAAATTGATTCTAAAATTTGAGCAACCATTTTCCTCAGTAGTTATAATATTGCTCTATTCCGCATACACCAAATTTAACATTAGGTAATCCGAGACTCTTAATACAATCTCAAATGAGAATTGTGAGTTCGTATTACAGGGTCATCAATATTTAGCGTTACATTGTTTTTCAAAATCAATACACTCGCAAAACAGTCAAATGTGTCGTATGGAACCATGTCGACTGTTCTTCGGAAGGACCTAAAGTAGCTCCCCATTCAAGCATGTCAAAAACACCAACTGTCTGCTCAAGTTGTTGACAAACGGCTCCAAAGATCCAAGATTCTTCTTTCCCGCATTCATTATGGCACGTTGCCAAACCTCGTTTTTAGTGATGAGATGATATTCAATGTTGAACACCACTTCATCTCCCAAAATGATCGAATTTGGTCGAATGGGACGAAGGATCCCGTGTGGTGACTAGGAAGCAATGCTCGACCTCAGTGATGGTCTGAGCAGTCGTAACAGAGTCCTCAAGGAGTCCCCTCTTTTTTGTTGACAAAGGGGTGAAATTGATCAGAAGAACTATCGAGATGCCATCCTTGTTGGTGCATTGCTGCCCTTGGCACGGAAACACTTCAAAAAACGCCCCTGGTCGTTCCAGCAGGACTCAGCACCAACCCCTGGGGCAAAATCGACTCAGGAGTGGCTGTCCTAGAATGTTCCCTACTTCATTACCAAAGATGAATGGCCCCCATCGTCACCCGATATGAATCCTCTGGATTTTGGGATCTGGTCATACCTTGAGAGCAAGGTCTCGACCGTTCACCATAGCAGTTTGGACGCCCTAGAGGTCAAACTGCTGAAGGAGTGGGCCAAAATCCCGCAGAGTGTCATTCGTGACTCGTGTAAGGCTTTCTCTAAGCGTCTACAACTCGTTATTGATGCAGATGGTGGACATATTGGATGAAATTGCGGGAATTGTATCTCTGAACTTCTGCCTACATAAATACATTTTCAAACATTCACAATTGTGTTTCATTTCATAGTTCTAACCATTCAAAGTTGTAAAGCTAAATATTGATGACCCTGAATTTGCTCAGCGGCACTGTCAACCAATTGTTAATTATTTTAAATTTAATTTGAGGCTTCGGGCATGCAGGTAGCACATCTCCCAGCCTGAGCACAACGGGTTTTGGGCACTTCAGTTCACTTCTAGATCTCTTTACCTCCTAGCACTTCCACCAGCCAGTGCGGCAGTAAAATTGTCAAAGAGGAAAATTACTATTAGGCTATGAAGAACATTCCCAGCCTGGTCACCATATTGCAGCTATGCAAATATTGACCAAGATGGCGGGTGGCAGCGGTGCGTCTCCTCATTAGGCTATCACTACCCTCATGAGCTGAGGAGTGCAGGATGAGGTGTATGATTGTGCCCTCCATATTGCATACTGGACAATTACTGGAGTCGGCTAAGTTGAATCTGGCCAAATGAGCGTTGACACCAGCATGCTCCAGGCGCAGACGTGACACAACGCATTCAACTGAACGTGGCAGCGATCCATGGTTTACATAGGATATCTCAGGTCAGTGACTTCGAGGAGCAGATCCAGTCATCAAAGGACAGTTGAGATCTTGCTGAGCGGGTGTTAGAATGTACAAGGTTTGCTACCCTATCTGCCACCTCATTTCCATGGATACCACTTTGACCGCATTTCTAAATGTATTATGTTCATTTCTTTGAGGCCGCGCTGTAAAAAGCAAAAAGTTTGTTGGCAGTAGCCAAAGTTCATTGATGGCGTATGTGCTTGTGCGATGGTGTAGTGTGGTGCAGCGCGACACAGGCCTGTGCTCGCATGATATTCCAGTGTTGTTGTGTTGTTGTAATTGCCCATCCTGGTAGTGGCGACTAGGGAGGGGGGGTGATAGGTCAGTTTTTCCGGGCACTCTGTGCCACTGGTAGTTCCACGACCATCACTGGCTCGCTGACCCGCCAGAACCGTTTTGATTGCATTACACAACACCCTGGACAAGCCAGGTACTCATTTATCAACCAGAGTTGGATGAATGGCTGAGTTGACCATGAGCTGAGCTTCCCGGCAGAACTTGTCCGCAGTGGGACTCGAACCCGGTATTCCTGTGTAGTCACGCCGGCCAGACGTAGATAGTCAGCCCTTACGAGTCACGGCAGCAAACGCGGGTAAGCTCGCTCTGGGGTTCGGCCGGGTTTGACTACCCGCCTAAGGATCTGACTGGTAGGGCAGCTAGGTAGGCTGTCACAGACCTTGCACCAGTAGTGCAAACTCTTCCAAAGTAAAACCTGGCATTTTCAATCAAAAATACGCTAAAAGTTCAAACTTTTTAGCTGAAAAGATTATTTTACCTGCAGTTTACTTACATTTTTCCCGCTAAATCTAATTTTTTCCCTATGAATGTGTTGAAAATACGCTAGATCGTGCGGAAAAAAGCTGAATTGGCAACACTGCTTTACATTAATCTGGAGTTAAACTTAATATTCGAATTGAGATTTGTGCAATAAGTCCAGCAGCTATCTCAATCAATCGTCAGTTATGGAAAGATCGGGTTCCAAAGGCCGGATCCCTTGTGAATCAAGTCACGAAAAGTTCAAGAATCGGCAACAGGCCATGGGCCTATGTCTTCAACGCCGACACTTCTTCTATTCATATTGTGGCAACTTGTGATCCAATTGCCACAGTAGTTTACTGCATGCCAAGGGCAGATGGTGGAGTCCAGGGCGTAGTTCGTAGCGTCATAGAGCAGCCACCTGTGGATTTGTTTATCTATTCAGTACATAACACAACCAATGATAATGCCATATTGGCATTAGATATGTTGATTGAGTATTTTAGGGGAAATTTGTCTAGATTAGATTTCGCCTATTATGAGTTTCGCGAAGGATTTTGATGAAGTTTGAAATTTTTAATGCTTGTTGAAAAAATCACAATCACGATTTAATTAGCTCAGAGGCACATGAGTATCCAGCGAACGACTTAGTTGCTACAACCATCGAAAATTCGACAGGAGAATAAAAAACTAAGAATTACAACGAAAGTTATCCCAAACTGATCACTGAGTGCGAGGCATTGCTTATATTATATCCAACGTTTTGGTGCCGTTCAACAGGCCATGTGATGGGACACGTCTTGCCAAAATACGAACGATGATATAGTGCATTTGAGGTTACAAATTGACATCGCGCACAAACCGAATAATTCTCCTACCATTTTATGAAATCGACGTTGAATTTTTTTTAAAGTTCTCTGGAATATTCAACGCACCAAATTAAAGATTTTATTTTCCGGCCGAAAAATTTTATTTTACGGACATCGAGTTCCTTGCTAGATTTGAATCTCACAGATATAACGAAGTCTGATTTCTATTAAAGCATTACTGAAGCGCCATCAATAGTGAAATTTTAAATTGATGTGAAAATATCCATAGTAATTCCCGGAAAAAAGATTTTGAAAACTGAAAGAAAGAATTGCAAAAATCCGTCACCTTCATCGTTGTCATAACAACTAACCCTTCCCCCGACAAACCAGGGATTTTTTCTGTCAAGTTGGAGCTTGGCGAAGTAGGTAACTATTATATGGTATCAAATTAGAGTCAATTTTAGGCTGTACAGCCTTAAAAGGGACATTCGTCACTAGTTTAACAATTATTTCTTTAAAATTTTGCAAACATAACATAGGAAAACGGTTCCTTTGTAATTTCTTAGAATTACCTCGGTGTTTTCCTTGTTAACAAGCTGTTACCTTTCATTTATGTAGTACAGATGTTCACATCGTAAGCAAGCCGTTTGCAGTGCATGCATTTACTCTCAAGACTTTCAGACAGCAAAAAATACACCAATTTCACCAAGTGTAGGAGCCGAATTGCCGCCAATGCTACATAAGCCGCCAGGTTCAAGCCTGCAGCGAATCGCACATTTATATTCGCCGACCGCAAATAAAACAGTATAATACAAGTCCAGAACTACGATATTTAGGATTCGATTACCACCTTACTTCTATATAAAGCTTTTCGAACGCGTTAGAGAGTTTTGGCTCAGTTTGCTAACAAAATAGTGAAGTGGCCGGTGAGGGAACGCAGCCGTGCACCACCAATTTTGTGCACCAACAAGACCTGAATCGAACGCCTTAGATCTCTCCGGACATCCACCAATCAGCCGTGAACCACTCGGCTTTGTCCTCCTCCGACCTTACGTAAAACCTGCCGTGCACCA